TCCCCACTCTGTCTCTGGTGAATCCTCTCACCCCCCACAACTCTGGCCTGTACCCCAGTTCTTATAGCATAAATAAATAAATCTTTTAAAAAAAAAAATCAAACTTCTTGATGAGGATCATTGTGAGTGATAATTAAGATAGGTGGCCCTGGGGCCTCCCTGGTGGCACAAGGAGTTAAGACACAACCTATGAAGCTATCCACAGCCTCTGCAGCATGAATTCGATACCCGGCCAGGGAGCTACCCACATGGTGCAGCAGACCTCTCCTGACTCCCCCGCTGCTTCCCTCAGCAGTGTATTTCAGTCGATCTGCCTATTCTGTTCCCCACTCTGTCTCTGGTGAATCCTCTCACCACCTCCCACACACACACACCTCTGGCCTGTACCCCAGTTCTTGTATACATAAATAAACCTTTAAAAAAAAAAAAAAAAGATAGGTGGCCCTGTGGGAGAAGGGTTTTGTCCGAGGTAAATGCTAGAACAGGAGAACATTTCCCTCCGTCCTCATAGCATTGTATGAAGTCCAAGGCACTAAGGTAGGGGCCAGATGACTCCTGAAGGCTAAAGAAGAGCCCACTGTACTCATATCTATCCATGTCCAGTCCCCAGGCCAGACGAAGTGTCACAGGTCCACAAGAAGGAAAATCCAAGAGGTTGGGATCAGGGCCCGTGCACTCCTCCACACACCAGCAAGCAACCCACTCCTATCCCTGGCCAGTATACACTCAGGAATAACGCAAGAGGTACAGGGCCCTCTCTTGATTTTAAAAGCAGATCATGATAGATCTGTCTGGTAAACATTTCCCATCTCATTAAGGGAAGAACTACCCCTGAAAGTCAGGATGAAGAGTTCAGTTAAGTCTTGGGCACAAAACAGACAGTGCGGGTTTGTCCCATGAGCAGGACTGCACTGGACACCACCAGGAGAAGCTATGTAACCATCACCTCGTATGTTCCCAACTTGACCATTCAAGGTCAATATTACCATCCCCTTTCAGATATGGGAACCACAGTTCAGCAGGTCACATCACTAGGAAGAGACCCAGCAGAGCTCACACCCCACCATAGGTTAAGTCAGGCTCGCCCAAGTCACACTACAGGTACCAGCTGCCCAGGAACAGGCTTCGGCCTCGCTCTGCAAACAGCAGGCACACTGGATGTAGATCAGTCAGCTACCCTGGCATAGAGGAACAGGCTAGCTACCATAGCATAAGCAGTACTTTTTAAAGTGTGCTCAAAGGCATCATCTCATTAGGCTGAATTCAATTTGAAAAATCAAACCAAAATCTGACCAGCAGGTCAGGTGGTGCTGGTTTGAGAAGAGGTTTCAGGAGGAACAGCTGAAGGATTCTTCACCTCCAGCAAGTGGAAACTGTCTCACTGCCCACATTCCCTCCCAACCCCATCTGCAGTTCAAAGTCCCACAGTCTTGAACCTTTCCCTAATGTTCCTGCTCAATCGCTGTGGACCCCCCCACCACCACCTTTTGGGTATTGTCATCCCATTAACACATTCTCTTTCGGATGCTGACCTGCGTCTCAGATGGGTAGCAAGCCTTCAGTCCTTCCATGTAAGGACCCAGAACAGGACATCAGGAGGACAGAAAGGTAAGGCCCTACAAACTCACCTGTGAAACAGGGTTACATCTCTTAAGATTGAGGGGGCTGGGGAGCATACTGAGACACTGAGAGGCTCTTTCCTGAGGATTCCCAGGCACTTCCTAAAGAGACCTGCAGATATTCAATTAGAATAAATTCCTTTGTCTTCTAAAAGACTAACCTACATTTTCATCAGACAAAAAGAGGTCACAAATACAACACAGAAAGTGAGGGGAGGGGCAAGAACCCATGTTTGACATTCCATTTACTGAAAAATCCTGAGTCCCTTTGCCAAAAATCCAGGCATGCATGGTTTATACTGGTATTTCTGTTTCTAAGGTCCCAGTCTCACTATCCCCAGCTTAGGACCACTCCCCCCCACCACCACATGCTTCTAAGGGCCCCAGTCTCACTACCAACTCTGGACGCTGCCCCACGTATTTCTAAGAGTCGGGCGGGGCGGGGGGTGGGGGGGGGGTAGCGTGCGTGAGCACCTCTTCAGATGTGGTCTTATATATCTGATCCTTAACAAACTGTCTTCCTGATTCAATTCAAAGACACAGCTTTATGGTGCAGAAAATAAATGACACTACCTGACAGAATAGCAATGAGTCCAGACTATCAAACCCCCTAGAACAGCTCAGCTAGCTGGCGAGCATCCTTCACAGGCAGAAGGTTCTGTGAGCTTCAAATTGTGACACTGCCAACTTGTTCTTCTGGTTTAGCCACACTCCCCACCCAACAACCCCAATATGCGCTATTACCCCAGAATGGCTGCCGAGGAAGACACCACCTACTCACCTGTTTCACAATCTTCCTCATTTTCTCCTATGTGGATAAATTAACTCAATCAGAGGAAATAAAGTCTAGGGGAAGGACTCTTGCCCATTCCATTTGATGGCACAGAACTATCCAAGTGTAAGCATTTGTGTTGCCCACGCTTCTTAGAGATTAGCACACTGAAAGTCCTTAACAGAATTCAATAGTAAGGGTGTCACATTTTTGTCTCTGTTGGAAATGACAAGACTCTGCTGGTCATTCTTAATTTTCTTCCAAAGAACAAACACCAGAAAAGACAACATTTCGGAATGTCTTCACTATGTTCTCCTTCGTGTCATGAACATCCTTTAGTCCTAGCTAACTAAGGCCCACCACACCCACCCGGCCTGAGCCTCACCACACACCTGGGCCAGTCTCTTCAATGGGATCCACTACTCAGGATAAATCCTAGACCCCGTATCTCAGACCTGGGAGCCACTGTGGCTCACCTCCCAATAGTCTCTTTTTCCCTCTCTATCTGCTCAACTACTCCCATCTTCTGTCCCAAGCACTCTCTGACAGAAACACTTTCTCTTGCCCTACCTAGCTCTCACCAGGACCCCTCAGCTGTGTCTTGCTCACCAGGTTTCAGGGCCTCTTCTTCGTCCTTCTAAGTTTTCCCATGTTTGAGATTAAAACTTCTCCCTCACTAAATTTCAGGGTAAAACCCACAGAGCAGGGATTCCTAGCACAATGCCAGAGGCATACTCAATAATTATTGAATAAGTTAATCCAGAAATCACTATTTGCAATGCCAGAAATTCACAAAGTAAACAATGCAAAGTGAGAGGAGCTACCAAAGTGTGACAAGTAATCTTTAAAATGTTTTATCACTCAAAGCATTCCTTACTTTTAAAATCATAAAATACAGGGCCTCCCTGGTGGTACAAGGGTTAAAGTCTCAGTACTATCAAGCTATCACAGCCACTGCAGCATGAGTTCCATCCCCGGCCAGGGAGCTACCCACATGACACAGCAGACCTCTCCTGTCTCACCTGCTGCACCCCTCAGCAGTGAATTTCAGTAGATCTGCCTGTTCTGCTCCCCACTTTCTCTGGTGAATCCTCTCATCTCTAAACCCCAGTTCCTGTATGCATAAATAAAAATAAATCTTTAAGAAAAAAATCATAAAATACAGAGGTAACAGAAGTTTTTTTAAAACTACTGCTAATTCTAATCCAGAGATTTTGGTTTTGACATTCTTCCAAGACTTTTTCTACCAAGAGTACATTGTTTCTTTTTTCTTTTTTTTTTTAAAGATTTATTTATGTATTTATTTATTTATTTATTTATTTATTTATACAAGCACTGGGTACAGTCATAAGCGCGGGAGGGTGAGAGAATTCACCAGAGCCGAGCGGGGAACAGAACAGGCAGACCGACGAAATACACTGCTGAGGGGAGCAGCGGTGCGGCAGGAGAGGTCTGCGCGCCATGTGGGACCCCCGCCGGTGGCCGGGGATCGAACCGGCGCTGCAGAGACTGCAGGCAGCTTCGCAGGCCAGCGCTCAACCGCTGTGCCACCAGGGGAGGCCCTCTTTTTTCTTTTTTTAAGGGTAGCATTATTTCTTTTCTCACTACAAAATACATGTTGCTGTAACTAATAGATAACTTGAAAAGCTATGTCACCTGAGTGGAAACAATGCACCCAAATCAAAAGACATCCCATCTCTATACCAAGATAAGGCAATGTAAAACCAGCAGCAGATTGTTATAGGGAAGGAATACAAAATAGAAGATGAAGGGTGGGAAAGTAAGCATGGGGGCTAACAAATCACTTTCAAAACTGCATTCTAAGCTGCTTCCTCTACAATGACAACTTTTCTGAGCTGGAAGCTGAGGAAGTTAATGCAAAGGGGTGATTCTGCGGCTTGGCTGCTTTAGAGACCATCTGGTTAACTCTGTCTGAGGACAAAGAGGGGCTAGAATGGTATCCCCAGGTCATGCCCCAACTCCTAGCAGAGGCGGAGGGGAGCCTGGATAAGTAAATGAACTTGTTTTAGGTCCTCCAAGGAAATGTTCACACAATGGGTTTGCAAAACAGGAGTCTTTCCAGCTGGGTGTTCCACAGGGCAGGCTCAAGCCCAGATCTGCCTCTCCACCACTCAGTGGCTTTGGGCAAGTATTCTGGCCTCCAGGATCCTTGGTTTCCTCTTTTGTAAACTGGGAATTGTATCTCCCTCCATCGGATTGTGATGGGCACTGAAGAGGTTTGAGCACTGAGCTTGGCACAGAGTAAAAATGCAAATCTAACAGCTAACCTGGTCCTCTCCTCCACAGCTTTTTGCCAGGTCTAACCAGTTACTGATCTTGGAGTTGAGCTGGTGCCAGCAAATCTTATGTCAGTAATCTAACTTGAAAGAAAACTTGTAACCACTACCCAAAGAAAAGAAACACCAGCAGGACAGAGAGTCCAAAACAGAAGCCACTGTTGTCTCTTGGTGTCTGTACTGCCAGCCAGAAGGTGTCACTGTGCGAAATGGACACAGAACCAGAGCCTTAAGAAGCACTGTGGGTACTCCACGAAAACCGAAAGAAGTAAGAAGATGAGGAAGAGAAAATTAAAGGCTCAAGTGACTCACCCGGACTTTGAACTAAAGAACCCAAACCTCAGATAAGGATGAACTACACATCTAAAGAAACACAAAATTAAGCAGTTCCAGCAAATTTCCCAGGGCAGGGAAGAAACACGCAACTCCGTTCCTAGGGAGGGTCCCCATTCATTGCCGGGTCCCAGGGCGCGCACACCCAGTGTCAGTCTCGCTCCGGGTCGGGGCCCTGCCCATAAGCCTTTCCTTGTTGAAGTGATCAATTCCGATTCTTGGCAATAATCCCTTTAAAAGGCCAGCTGCAGCTGTTTAGTCACTGATGCCGACCGTTCCGGGTGGGAACAGGGTCATCAGCGCGGCCACCGCCTAGACAGAGAGGCAGATTTAGAGTGTGGGGCCCTGAGACGGGCTGGAACCCAATGGAGGCAGGGTCCAATCCCTGGGGATCCGGCGGGAAGGGCGCAGGCCAGGAGGCCGCCCGCAGGCGTGGGCGCCAGGGACTCTTATTCTGACACGGAGCCGCCGCACCGTCGCCGCGGGGTTCAGCGCCACCGCCCGGGACCCCCACCCGCCCACGTGCGCCCCCCACCCGGCCCAGAGAAAACGGCGCCCGGCTGCCCGGCCCCTCCCACTGGCCCAGGAAGCGCAGGAGGAAGAGGGCCGCGCCATCCCGGGACCCCCGCCCGCTCGGCCCCCACGTGCCCGGGCGGCGTCGGGGAGAACTTTCCCCGGCCGAGTGGAGCGCTCGGGACGCGAGAGAAAACTCACGCACTCTCACTTTTCCAGCGCTCCAGGGGTCCCCGCAACCCCCGACCCCCACCCTGCCAAGCCCCTGCCCCCGCCAAGTTTGGTCCGGAACTTACCCGGCCGCGGTCCGCTGGACCCTAGGGCAGCGCGCGGAGTCGCGGAGTCGCAGGACCGGGGTCTTCCGCGGAGCCGGGCGGCCGAGGGGCCGGGGGCGCCGGGCCGCGCGCGCTCGCTCCGCCGGTCCGCCCGCCCGCCCGCGCCGCCGGCCAGATAATGCGCCCCTCGGCCGCACACATGGAGCCCGGCGCCGGCGTCACCGCCCGGGACATGCGCACCAGGTCAGCGCGCCCGGCCCGCGGCCCCCAAAACACCGGGGAGCTCTTAAAGGCGACGCCGCCCGCCCGCGCCGACGGGGCGGGGCGCGAGGGGCGGGGCCTGGTGGAGGGCCGGGCCTGCCGGCGGGCGGGGCGGGGCGGGGCGTGCGGGCGGGCGGGGCCAGGCTGGTCCGCCCCGGAAGCGAGGCTCCCCTAGCCGCGCTCCCGGCGCAGCACCGCCAGCTCGCCGTTCCCACAAATCCCGGCTGGTGGCCTTCGCCCGGCTGGGGTCGTCGCAGCCGCCGTGACAAGTCGCGGCCGTTCCCAAGGCTGACTCACGGCGCGTTCGCTGCTGACCTCAGCTGCTCCTGCACACCAGACTGAGGCCACCCCGCAGGGCCACCACCCAGAAACCCCTACCCGGGGATCAGCTGAACCTCATTTCCCCAGCGCAGTGAACTGAAATCTACGCAGAGAACTCCAGCCCCCAACTCGATCCGCGGGATGCCAACTCGCCTCTCCAGTAACCTTCCCTCTACCCAGCGCATTTGAAAGAAGTCGAAACCCCGCAAGAAAGCAAAGGCTCTCCGTCCCCGTGATCCGGAGCAAACTTGAGAATCTGTCTGAGACAGGATGGGCTTTGGAGATAATGAACTACATACATAAAGCGAAACGCAACTCCAATGGGGAAAGTAAGAAATCTACTATCACTAGAAATCTCTCAATATCAAGTTTAGGTTTTGAAGAATAACCAGGAAAGTCTCTTTTCAGGTTTTTTGCCCGCGTTAAAACAAGCAATTTTTGGTGAGACACCTAGACTCCTCCGTAGTGGCTTTTAAATTTTTTTTCTAACACACCCTAATACATAGTCTTCACGCAACTGAAACAAAAGTTTCACCAAGCATAACTCTAGCACTTGCAGTGCACTCTGATATTTGCGAGTCCGCTTAATTTTTTAAAAGAATCACTGTTGGGCCTCCCCGGGTTGAGCGCTGTGCTGTGAAGCTGTCCGCAGCATCTGCAGCGCGGGTTTGATTCCCGCCCGCCCGCCGGCGAGGGTCCCACATGGCGCAGCAGACCTCTCCTTTCTCGCCCGCTGCTCCCCTCTGCAGTGTCTTCGGTCCGTCTGCCTGTTCTGCTCCCCGCTCGCTCTGGTAAATTCTCTCACCCTCCTGCGCCTTTGACTTGTACCCCAGTTCTTGTATAAATACATAAATCTTTAAAAAAAAAAAATCACTGTTGATCTCCATCCCAAACTTGAAAAACAATGTAGAACAAGTTTTGCAAATAAAAAAATTTTAATGTGCCGTCTAACAAGTTGAAAAAAGCCCATTTCAATTTCATATTGAGTTCCATATGTAAATAACTGGCAACTTTTTGTCCTTGATTCCTATCTCCAAAATACCCCCAAAGTCTTCCAATGGCTTAATGCCACATCTATTACAACCTGCCCGGCTCCAAAGAGCTTTCCTCAAACTAAAAATGATACAAAATACAAATTGTTGACCCCTAAACACCTTCCCTGACCCACTTTTGTCAGCAATTTGCTTTGCTACAAAGAAATTCAAATGTTCAAATTCAAAAACCAAACAAAAACAGTCTGTTCTCCAACAGATTCCCTGTAGGAATGTAGGAAGCTCCTTGATGCCTGGCAAGGTTAGGGATAAAGCAAATATCCAGGATTTCCACTCTAATTCAGGGGCTGTGTATTTTGAGATCAGCTTTACTCGTGACCATTAATCAGATGATGTATATTAAAGCAATACAAGCAAAATGTTACCTCACTGCTCCTCACCTGAGTCTCGATTAATGCCAACTTAATTAACTACAAACAGCAAAGTGTGGTCAGGTGGGAGACTTAAGGCTTGAGAAATAAAGATTCCAGAGTCTGAGCTGGCAAGCCTGTGAGTCACCTAGGTGACAACTACCCTTTTTAAAAGAGGGAAGCATCAGCTGCGACATATTAATGACACACCCCTGTGGACTGAGGTGTGCACTAGTGACAGGTGGGCTGCTCTAGAGGGCAGTGCCAACTTCTCCAGCTGGGAAAGCAGGGTGGGGTAGAGTGAACAGTTACATGTTTTATTTCTGTAATAGGAAGAGAAGGCCAGGTGTAAGCGAATAAAGTGACAGTGTGGGGCCACCAATGCTCAGGCAGAATACTGATGCTACTTGGATGCAAGACCTTGCCTATTCAGTGCCTTGTATTGGACTAAACAGCAAATAGTTCAGCTGGGTGATTATGAAATATGATGCAATTAATTCAGATGCCATTCTAAAGCTGAAGATACTCTAAGAGACAATCAGGTCTACAATCTTTCTCAAAGTTTTGGCCCTAAGAAGAAAGTCAATTAATACATACAGACATCAGTTAATATTTTTAAAAACACTTGTTATTTAGTCAAATAAAATTTTCTTCCAAATTCATATTTTACTTCCTATTCTTCATAGAGCAGATCGTTGCTAATAACAACACTCCTCCCACCCTAACCATTCACAAAAATATTCTAATTATCTTTCAAACGAGCTATTAGATAAATTTCTAAACACCATCTGAGCCTGTTTCTGAACAACAGAGGGCCCAAAAAGAAAAATTTGAGCCAAATTCATAATCATGACCTCTTTCATAGCAAAAATTGGTCAGTCTCCATAGTAGAATGAAACTAACTGCAAAGAAGTAGCATCACCTACTGAATGTTTACGGTATTGTACTTTTTTTTTTAATCAGTACACAGCAAGTTTTTTTAAGGAAAGAGGAAAAAAGGAGAGACACCTGCACAGACACAGGTGGGCAGAAAGCTGCCCTTTTTTGTTTTTGTTTGTTTGTTTTGTTTTTTTTAAGATTTATTTATTTATGCATACAAGAACTGGGGTACAGGCCAGAGGTGTGGGGGGGTGAGAGGATTCACCAGAAACAGAGTGGGGAGTAGAACAGGCAGATCGACTGAAATACACTGCTGAGGGGAGCAGTGGATAAGTCAGGAGAGGTCTGCTGTGCCTGATGGGTGGCTCCCTGGCCAGGGATCATAGGTTGTGTCTTAATCCCTTGCACCACCAGGGAGGCCCCCCCTTTTTTGTTTCTAATCAGAATTTCTCTAAGTTTCTGGTAGACAAAATTTAAGATATCTTATGTGATGAGCGCTGATGGATAAGAACTATCTGAGAAACCACTCATCCTAATGGTTTTACAATCTAAAGGACCTACAGACATTCATTCCAGAAGTTCACAGGCTGGTGACACAGAATGACTTCAATGCAGAAAATGCATTCACAGGAAAGACATGAATCTAAGTGAAAAGGGTGCTCCCTAACCAAAAGAGGGGTCCAGGAAATCTTAGCAGATGTGACAGTTGAACCAACTCTTAACAAATGAGCATCCTAGACAACCAGATACATACAAAAGCAAAAGCCAGGGCCTCGCTGGTGGTGCAGGGGGTTAAGCACAGTGCTGTGAAGCTATTTGCAGCCTCTGCAGCACGGGTTCGAGCCCAGCCAGCCAGGGAGCAACCCACATGGCACAGCAGACCTCTCCTGTCTCGCCCACTGATCCTCTCAGGAGTGTATTTCAGTCAGTCTGCCTGTTCTGCTCCCCATTCTGTCTCTGATGAATCCTCTCACTCCCCACACCTCTGGGCTGTACCCCAGCTCTTGTATGCATAAATAAATAAATCTTTAAAAACAAAACAAAAAAACATTGGGTCTCCCTGGTGGCACAGGAGGTTGAGCGCTGCACTATGAAGCTGTCTGCAGCCTCTGCAGCATGGATTCGATCCCAGCCAGCCAGCAAGAATCCCACATTGCGAAGCAGACCTCTCCTGTCTCACCCGCTGCTCCCCTCAGCAGTGTATTTCGTCAGTCTGCCTGTTCTGTTCCCCGCTTTGTCTCCAGTTAATCCTCTCACCTTCCCGCACATCTGACCTGTACCCCCATTCTTGTATAAAAATAAATAAATCTTTAAAAAACAAAAACAAATGCAAAAGCCAGAGCTGGCTACCTCTGGAATATTATGGCTTTGGTGCAGAAAGTCCTGAAAAATGACGGATTCATTATCCTTTAGACCTTCTAGATGACTTTCTCTCTCAAAACATGAAATGAACTGTCAACTACTCCAGTTGACAAGCAAAGCATTCTATAAAGAATAAACAGATTGTTCATTCAAAAGTGTATCAAGTTAAAAAACACATTACCCTTATGAGAAAGAACACTGACTCATTTCCCTACTTAGCCATTTTTAGTACTCTAAAGTCTAAACTTTTTATTAAGCTTAGAGATAATACAAT